GGTGAGGACTAGCACCTTGAAGCGGACCCGGAGAACCACTGGTAACCAGTGCAGCTCACGCAGGAGGGGTGTTATATGGGAGTAACGAGGGGCTCCCATAACAACCCGTGCAGCTGCATTCTGGATCAGCTGGAGTCTCCGGGTGCATCTCAGGGGCAGGCCCATGTAGAGGGAATTGGAGTAATCCAAGCGGGAAGTAACCAGGGCATGAGTGACTGTGCGAAGGTCATCTCGGTCCAGGAAAGGGCGCAAACTGGCACACCAGGCGAACCTGTGCGAAGGCCCCAAACGAAAGGCCCCAAATTTCCCCCCCAACGACAACAATCTGTGAGGTGAGTCAGGCTGAGAGGAGAGAGAGAGAGAAGGAATGGCCCAAAGTCACCCAGCTGGCTTTCATGGCGACTCAGGTCTAGAATTCACCATCTCCCGCTATCTAGCCTGGCGATTTAACCACTAAACCAAACCGTCCCAAATTCACATTACATCAGGGCTAGTTTTGAGAAGCCCGAGATCCATTCTCAATCCGCAACGCCCACAATTTTCTAAGATCTCAGCCTACATAATCGCCGGCTTTGTGAATAGTGTGTAAAAATCCTGATCGTTTTTTTTTTTTTTTCCCTAGCAAACACAAAGAAGACTTAGAGTTAAAATAACTTTATTATCACTTCGTACGTACACTAATTGGCATAGGTGAAAATGAAATTTCGTTGCATTACATTTCAAGCCTGACACGCTTGAAATGACTGTTACGCTTCCTGTGGTTACATGGATTTCCTCACCACCCCTATTAAACTCCACTAGGACGAGCAGATGCAAATGTCTAAACACTACAGTAGTAAGCGGTCTTGGCGCCGCAGATACACAGGACTTCCTGTAAAAATTTGACGGGGGAGGCACGGCTGCACTTTCCTGATCTTGGTCACAGTGCTGCATTCATTCTCATAAGGTAAAGCTAATAACAAACTCGGTTTAACAGAGGCAGCCCTTTGTAAGATGCACGGGTGATAGGGTTGCGTTTGTTATCGTTCTGGATCTAGTTAACATCTTCCCTCAAGAGAAATCCAAAGGCTTTCTGCATATTTATTTTCAGATCTTTCAGAATCTACCAGATACGTGATGCTTTTAAGCCCAATAGCTGAGTACACATAAGAGGATATTAAGTCTGCCTCTGTTTCCACTTGAGATGTTACTCAACTCCTTCAAAGCCCAAATCAGGGGCTTCAAAAATACCCAGATGGTTGGGAGATTATCAGTTGCTTTTTTTTTTTTTTAATTTGATTTATATGCCGCCCTTCTCCGGAGACTCAGGGCGGCTTACAATCCATTAAGCAATAGCCTTCATACTTTTGTATATTTATACAAAGTCAGCCTATTGCCCCCACAAACTGGATCCTCATTTTACCTACCTTAGACAGGATGGAAGGCTGAGTCAACCTTGAGCCTGGGGAGATTCGAACTTGCAGTAATTGCAGGCAGCTGAATGTTAATAACAGGCTATTAGTCTGCTGTGCCACCAGGCTTTTAACTTCTTACCTGGCAGAAAAGCAGCTCCAGGAGAAAACATTGGACTTGACCCGAGAAGGTTAGATCTTTGGGAAGGAATATCAAACAGGACAGATAACTCCAAGTTGCAATCCTTTAAAATCTATTTTTAATAGTGCACATCAGTCGAAGGCGGGTAACCTTTTATAGAAATAGTACACATTTGTATTGTGATGTGTGGAAATCACACGGAGGACAACTATTGTTGGGAGTCCACAGCTTTGTTCTCCTCCAACCTACCAAACAGCAGGAGGGAAAAAAACATATTGATTATTCTCTGGGCTTTGGAAACCAGGCCCTTTGTGGAACAGATCAAGGATCTGGGCCTGCTTAGCTTGCTAAAGGGAAGACACAGAGAGACCCTGTGATTGCAATCTGGCAATCTTTAAAAGATTGCCATGCAAAGGTAGGTCTATTTAAGAGAATAACAGAGTTGGAAGGGACCTTGGAGGTCTTCTAGTCCAACCCCCTGCCTAGGCAGGAAACCCCACACCACTTCAGACAAATGGTTATCCAACATCTTAAAAACTTCCAGTGTTGGAGCATTCACAACTTCTGGAGGCAAATCGTCCCACTGGTTAATTGTTCTCACTGTCAGGAAATTTCTCCTTAGTTCTAGGTTGCTTCTCTCCTGGATTAGTTTCCACCCATTGCTTCTTGTCCTGCCTTCAGGTGCTTTGGAGAATAGCTTGACTCCCTCTTCTTTGTGTCAGTCCCTCTGTTGGAAGAAATGTCCTTCTGGGTTCAGTTCCAAGTGGGGAAAAAGACACTGGATTCATGGAAGTTGCTTGGAAAGAAGGTTTATTGATGAACAGGATCACATGGCTTGGAGATCTTGGGCGAAAAAAGGGCAGAGATGCTGAGAGTGTCTGGGTTTTATGCCCTCTGTTGGGCTTTTGAATTTGAGCTTGTATTCTGATTGGTTGTCAGACTCCCATGGGGTCATGCAGGGGTAACTTTGTAGGTTGTCTTTTGAGTCCCAGGCTTGGTTGACTCTTGCTGGGTGATAATGTAACGAAGGGGCTTTGGGCAATTCCTATTACGGCTCTGCCTGAAGGAGGTAGATCTTGGTTATGTAGAATAGACTGGCCTAGGCCTTAATCCAAATTTTTTTACTACTGGTTCTGTGGGTGTAGCTTGGTGGGCATGGTGTGGCTTGGTGGGCATGGCAGAGGAAGGATATTGCAAAATCTCCATTCCCACCCCACTCCAGGAAAAGGATACTACAAAATCCCCATTCCCTTCCCATTCCTGGGGGAAGGATATTGCAAAATCTCCATTCCCACCCTACTCTGGGCCCAGCCAGAGGTGGTATTTGCCGGTTCTCCAAACTACTCAAAATTTCCGCTACCGGTTCTCCCGAACCTGTCAGAACCTGCTGGATTTCACCCCTGCCATAATGGCCCATTGACAAAGATGGGAACGGGCAGAGAGCTGCTCTTTGTCTTTAAAACATGTTTCTCCTTTTCTCATCCAGGGAAATATAATATTCTGCCTTTTTAATATTTCCTAGAATATTTCATTTTTCTAGGAGAGGGGTGGGTGCTAACTTTCTACACCCCAAATATTAGAAAACTGCTATCGTGTCGCCCGTGGTCCTTCTTTTCCCTAGACTAGACTAGCCATACCCAGTTCCTGCAACCGTTCTTCATATGTTTTAGCCTCCAATCCCCTCATCATCTTGGTTGCTCTTCTCTGGCCTGGTCTGTTCTCTGTTGAGCAAGGAGAAAATGCTTGGGACCCGAGAAAGGAGATTCAGGCTGAAGATGACTAGAATTTCCTGATGTAAGAGCTATTAAATCATGGAACATTTCCTGCCTAGGTAAACGATGGCATCATGTGATTTCTCCCCGTCCCCCATAGGCCTGACTAGGTGGCTCAGTGGCTAAAACACTGAGCTTGTCGATCAGAAAGGTCGGCAGTTTGGTGGTTCGAATCCCTAGTATAGGGTTGGACTAAATGACCTCCAAGGTCCCTTCCCACTCTGTTACTGTTAACTGTTACTGGATGGTTGTATTGGATTTAGAAACATTTGGCAATAAACTTTGGTTCTTAATTTTCATGTGGCTTTTCCATTTTTTTTATAAACGTTCTGAGATGATGCAATGTAACAATTCTGTTGCTGATAGCTGGCATAAGGCAACATATTATTATTATTATTTTTAGCTAACCTAAAATGTTTTATTGTGGCAAAATAGCTAGAAACATCTCTCCTTGAATCAATGATATTGAGAGATTTGTGGAAAATAGCTTTGGCGGGGGAAAAAAAATTAACTTCCTTGCAAATTATAGAACAAATCTTTTAATTAAGGAATATTTTATACCAGTCTGATTTCTAATTTTTAAGCGCATCAGCAAATTATTTCCTAATAGATTATCCTCATTTATTGAACTGTTGCTGAGCATGGAGTACATTTTTAGTGCGAGCTATGGATCTCCCCAACGGTCTTCTACTTAAGCCCACATTTCGCTAGCTTGGCTCATTGGCAGAAGAACAGCAAAGAAATCACTTTCAGTTGGTATTGATGATAGGATGGCATGATGTAACTTGCCCCAGAAGGCAAGACAAGAAACAATGAATGGAAACTAATCAAGCAACCTGAAAGAATTAAGGAGAAACTTCCTAACAGTGAGGACAATTAACCAGTGGAACAGCTCGCCTCCAGAAATTGTGGGTGCTCCAACACTGGAAATTTTTAAGAAGAGATTGGACAACCATTTAGAGTAGAGTAGAGTAGAGTAGAGTAGAGTAGAGTAGAGTAGAGTAGAGTAGAATAGAATAGAATAGAATAGAATAGAATAGAACAGAATAACAGAGTTGGAAGGGACCTTGGAGGTCTTCTAGTCCAACCCCCTGCTTAGGCAGGATACCCTACACCACTTCAGACAAATGGTTATCCAACATCTTCTTCAAAACTTCCAGTGTTGGAGCCTTCACAACTTCTGGAGGCAAGTTGTTCCACTGATTAATTGTTCTAATTGTCAGGAAATTTCTCCTTAGTTCTAAGTTGCTTCTCTCCTTGATTAGTTTCCACCCATTGCTTCTTGTCCTGCCCTCAGGTGCTTTGGAGAACAGCTTGATTCCCTCTTCTTTGTGGCAGCCCCTGAGATATTTGTCTGAAATGGATGTCCTGCTTGAGCTGGGGGTTGGACTAGAAGACCTCCAAGGTCCCTTCCAACTCTGTCCTGATTGATTGATTTAATTTGTAATGCTTAATGCTCTACATCCATGAGGAGTTTTTGTTGGGTTTGGAGAACAACACATTCAGCACATCCTTATAAAATAAATAAAACAACAATGTTAACTCGCCTAGCTTAATCAGAACATCAAACAGGCTGTATGTTTACCTTTTAGGCAGTTCTTTGGTACTTATAGGAGTGGTTGCAAAAAGAATTTCTCACAAAGGCTCCTCAATGCAAGACTCTTAATCTGTCCTCCGTTCTTTCTCGCTGTTCAGCTCGTGGGCTTCGTTTTGAGACTTAACGAAATGGCAACTTCATGAAAACCTGTGAAGATGGACAGACAGAAAAGGGGTGTGGCTCAGCCACAGGAAGATCCAGAAAGCAGCACAGGAGAAGGTGACTTGGGAAGCCAACTGGATGTTTTAGCCAAAGCGCACGAATTCTTCCGGATCTGCGATGTAGAAGGGAAGGGGTTTATTGCTCGCCATGACATGCAGGTAAATCGCAAAAGGTAGATTTATATAAGTATTTCATTCATTTCTCGAGGAACCCTTTGTCTCTCCTGTTTGAATTTATAGTTGGGAGCCGGCAAGAATGAATAGCATTTTTAATCTCACGCCTTTTTTTCAACAACTGATTATGTCCGATTCTTGGAGATTGCCTGGACATGTCCCCTGCAGTTTACTTGGCAAGGTTTTCCAGAAATATTTTGCCATTGCCTCCTTTCTAGGGTTGAGAGAAAGTGACTGGCCCAAGGCCCCAAGGTCACACATCTGGCTTTGTGCCTAAAGTGGGACTAGAACTCATGGTCTTCCGATTTCTAAGCCTAATACCTTAATCGTCACACCAAACTGGCTCTACTGCTTTATTACTTGGCTGTAAATTAGTTCAACACAAGAAAGATAACACACACACACAGGATGAAGGATGTAAATCTGGCAGAAAGTCCCTTATGAGTATTGGCTTATGTATTGTTTAAGAAGGGACGCGGTGGCTCAGCGGCTAAGATGCTGAGCTTGTTGGTCGAAAGGTCGGCAGTTCAGCGGTTCGAATCCCGAGTGCCGCGTGACGGGGTGAGCTCCCGTTACTTGTCCCAGCTTCTGCCAACCTAGCAGTTCGAAAGCCCATTAAAGAAAATGCAAGTAGAAAAATAGGGACCACCTTTGGTGGGAAGGGAACAGCGTTCCGTGCGCCTTTGGCATTGAGTCATGCTGGCCACATGACCACGGAGACGTCTTCGGACAGCGCTGGCTCTTCAGCTTTGAAACGGAGATGAGCACCGCCCCCTAGAGTCAGGAATGACTAGCACATATGTGCGAGGGGAACCTTTACCTTTACCTTTTATTATTTAAAGAGCATCCCAATGTAGGTTTGTACTGAAGGCCGAGTAGGGAATTTTAGAGTCATTAACGGGAAGGACATATAGAAGTATAGCCAGCCGCATAAACAGGCTGAAGAACAGTTTTTAAACGTGGGCTATCAAGACTCCTGAATGAGAAATAACATCATAACTACGTAGTATGATGGACTGCAGGGCCAGCGCAATGTGTGACATGTTCACACTGGTGCAATGGAACTGGGTGTTGTGTTAATATGACTTATTGGGTTAGGGATTTTCTGTCTTCACTGTGAGTTGTATTGTGTTGAGTGGGGTGCACTAAGGGAGCTCAACCAATCTCATTGTACATATGTTATGCACTGACAAGTAAGATTTGAATTGAATCAGACCTGCGTTAAAAGTCCTGGGACAATGGACCTCATGGGAGTTAATCTTAACATTAGAAGCCAGTGATCTGTCTGTTTGGTAAGGATCCAGAAGATTTAGGAATATGGAAGGAAGCTATGTCAGGAAGCAGAAAGGCTGTTTACAGGAAGGGGATACTCTGGCCATGAATCATGGCTCGAATTGATGCCCTTTCCTTAGGAGGAGTCACAGGGATCTTTGCAAATGTTAAGGGATAGAGATACATTCATTCATTCATTCATTCATTCATTCATTCATTCATTCATTCATTCATTCATTCATTCATTCAATTTGTATAGCTGCCCAATGTTTCATCATTATAACTACAGTACTTGCCAAATTTGTGGAAACCTTTTTGGAAAAGTGTATTTTTGAGGTTTGATGGCTAATAACACCACTTTTTTTTTTGGAGTTTCAAGATAATCCTATTCCACTGCTGGGAATAGCCAGACCTTCACCCAATTGAAAATCTAGGGAGCCAACCAAAGAAACTTGTCAATCAGAAGCGACCCAGCAATAAAACCCAGTTAATAGAAGCCATCATTCCATCTTGGTTTCACATTAGAACAGCTGCAGAACTAAAAGACTTGCTTCACTCCATGGGAAGACGTTGTAAGGCTGTAATTCATGCTAAAGGTTACCCAACTAAGTATTAACTGGCATGGGGATCATTTTTGTATATCTCGTTTTTTTCTATGGTGATCATTTTTGTAGATCTCGTTTTTTCTACGTGTTTCACTTTTCTTCTTTACACTGTAACTGCTATCCTAATAGCAAATCCTTCATAAAAGTTATTGCATTACATTCTTGATTAAATTATCTTTCCATTGATATATAATTTTATGGTAGTACTCCAAAAAAAGTGGTGTTATTAGCTAGTTTTAGAAAATACACTTTTCCCAAAAGGTTTCCACAATTTTGGCCACTACTGTAAAAGGACTGTCTTATGGTGGAGCTTAGAATCAATGTTCTTTATAGAACAAATGTCTAGGATTCTCCAAATTAGGTCTCTTATTAGCCAAAGGATAAATCACCACGACAAGAAGGTGAACCCCAATCCGTATTAAAAGGAGGATAGTGACCAATAGAGTTGAGAAATCACAGGCGGTCCTCGACTTACGACCATAATGGACCCCAACATTTCTGTTGCTAAATGAGACACTTAAGTGAACGTTGCTCTGTTTTACCACCTCTCTTGCCATGGTTCTTAAGTGAATCACTGCAGTTATTAAATTAGTTATTGCGGTAAAGTGAATTCGGTTTGCCCATTGACTTTGCTTGTCAGAAAGTTTCAAAAGGTATTCACATGATCTGGGGACACTGAAACCGTCATAAATGTGAGTCAGTTGTGAAGCGTCTGAATTTTGATCATGTGACCATGAGGATGCTGCAATGGTCGTGAGTGGGACAAAAATGGTCATATGTCACTTTTTCCAGCGACGTCATAATTTCGATCGGTCACTAAATGAATTGTTGTAAGTAGAGGACTACCTGTAGCATTCCCTACCGGTTCACAAATGTGACCGCACATGCGCAGTAGTCACGGATTACGTCTGGGCGTGTGGCAGTGGTGAAATCCAAATTTTTTTACTACTAGTTCTGTGGGCCTGGCTTGGTGAGCATGGTGTGGCTTGGTGGGCATGGCAGGGGAAGGATACTGCAAAATCTCCATTCCCATCCCATTCCAGGGGAAGGATGCTGCAAAATCCCCATTCCCTCCCCCCTCCTGGGGGAAGGAGTTTGCAAAATCTCCGTTCCCACCCCACTCTGGGGCCAGCCAGAGGTGGTATTTGCCAGTTTTCCGAACTGCTCAAAATTTCCGCTACCGCTTCTCCAGAATCTGTCAGAACCTGCTGGATTTCACCCCTGGCGGGTGGGCGGAGCCTCCTGCAGTTGCCGCTACCAGTTCGCGCGATCCGGACAGAACCGGCTCAATCCCACCACTGCGTTCACCTAAATTATTTGTGCTTTTTGGTTTTCAAGACCTTTTCAAAATTAACCTTTTAATTGACACGTAACGTCTGTGTAACTGAGGAAAACGTTGTCGTTTTAGAGGCTCCATGGTGAGTCGCCGCTTGTCCCCGAAGAGCTGGAGAAAGTATTTGACACTCTGGATGCAGATGGCAATGGCTTTCTTACTCTAGAAGAATTCACCACCGGATTCAGTGAGTTCTCCATCCACATCATGCTTTAGAAGTAATTCAGCTGTCAATTCCTATTTTAGTGGTTCCTTTTATGCATTCATTTATATTATTTGATTTCTCATCTCTGTAGCATAACTTGATCTAGAGGAAAGCCAATAGCAATAGCACTTAGACTTATATACCGCTTCATGGTGGTTTTTACAGCTCTCCCTAAGCTGTGCCACTGGGCCACGAGGAAGGAGAATGAGAAAGGGAATGGAGGGAGGAAGGGAGGGAGGGAGGGAGGAATGAAGGAATAGTAATACTATTAAGACTTATATACCGCTTCACAGTGCTTTACAGCCCTCAACAATCTGGGTCCTCATTTTACCAACCTAGGAAGGATGGAAGGCTGAGTCAACTTTGAGCTGGTTAGAATCGAACTGCTGGCAGTGGGCAGAATTAGCCTGCAGTACTGCATTCTGACCACTGCGCCACGAGGAAGGAGAATGAGAAAGGGAAGGGAGGGAGGAAGGAAGGAAGGAAGGAAGGAAAAAGGAAGGAAGGAAAGAAGGAAGGAAGGAAGGAAAAAGGAAGGAAGGAAGGAAGGAATAGTAATAGCACTTAGACTTATATACTGTTTCACAGGGCTTTTACAGCCCTATCTAAGCAGTTTACAGAGTCAGCATATTGCCCCCAAACAATCTGGGTCCTCATTTTACCGACCTCGGAAGGATGGAAGGCTGAGTCAGCCTGGTGAGATTCGAACTGCTGAACTGCCGGCAGCCGGCAGTCAGCAGAAGTAGCCTGCAGTACTGCACTCTAACCACTGCGCCACCACGGCTCATGGGATCCGTTAATTGGGACATTCCTTTCTTTGGGTTGCTCCATTGTTCTCACTGTGAGGCGATTTCTCCTCACGTTTTCTAGGTTGGATCTCTCTTTAACACGTTTCCACCCATTACTTCTTGTCTTCTGGTGCTTTGGAGAATAAATTGTTCCCCTCTTCTCTGTGACAGCCCCTCAAATACTGGAAGACAGCCATCATGTCCGTCCCCCAATCCTTCTCTTCGATAGGCTAGGCTTACCAAGTTCCCTCAGTCGTTCGTTCGTCATACGATTCTCTCTGTTTACTTACCACATTTAACACACTGTGTGGCTTCAGTTCCTTCCTATATCCTGGATGACTAATCCCACAGCCTCGGTTGGGATTTATTTATTTTATTTATTTATTAATTAAATTTCTATACGCCCTTCTCCAATAGGACTCAGGGCGGTGCACAGCCAAGATAAAACAAAGCATACAAAATTTAAGAACAGTATTAAAATAATTAAATATTTTGGCCGAAATTAAGATAACCCAATTTAAAATCAATTTAAAATTTAACTCAGGGATGGCTTAGTTTTCTTTCTAAGTTGCTTTTTTTTTTTTTTTTAAATTTGATTTCTATGCCGCCCTTCTCCGGAGATTCAGGGCGGCTTACAATGCGTTAAGCAATAGCCTTCATCCTTTTGTATATTTTATACCAAGTCAGCTTATTGCCCCCACAAACTGGATCCTCATTTCACCTACCTTAGAAAGGATGGAAGGCTGAGTCAACCTTGAGCCTTGGAGAGATTCGAACCAGCAGTAATTGCAGGCAGCTGTGTTAATTACAGGGTGCACTAAACCCCTGTACTATCAAGGCTCTTCTTTTCTCAGAAGAAACGCCAGCAGTGTCCTCCTTTGCTATCCAACCTCACGGGGAGATGCTCACCTTAATAAAGGGGTGTCAAACTCGATTTCATTGAGGGCCGCATCAAGGTTGTGTTTGACCTCCGGGGGGGGGGGAAGGTGGATGGGCCCCTCAACATCACTCATGTCGGGGACACCTGTGGTGGCCAAGTGCTAAGACAGGACTTCCCTGAGACTCTCCCTCCAGTCATTATAACCTTCCTTCCTTCCTTCCTTCCTTCCTTCCTTCCTTCCTTCCTTCCTTTTCTTCTTTCCCTCTTCATTCTCCTTTCTTCTTCCTTCCCCTCTTTCCATATTTTTCCTTCCTTCCTTCCTTCCTTTTCTTCTTTTTCCTTCCCTCTTCATTCTCCTTTCATCTTCCTTCCCCTCTTTCCGTATTTTTCCTTCCTTCCTTCCTTCCTTCCTTCCTTCCTTCCTTCTTCCTTCCTTCCTTCCTTTTCTTCTTTTTCCTTCCCTCTTCATTCTCCTTTCTTCTTCCTTCCCCTCTTTCCGTATTTTTCCTTCCTTCCTTCCTTCCTTCCTTCCTTCCTTCCTTCCTTCCTTCCTTCCTTCCTTTTCTTCTTTTTCCTTCCCTCTTCATTCTCCTTTCTTCTTCCTTCCCCTCTTTCCGTATTTTTCCTTCCTTCCTTCCTTCCTTTTCTTCTTTTTCCTTCCCTCTTCATTCTCCTTTCATCTTCCTTCCCCTCTTTCCGTATTTTTCCTTCCTTCCTTCCTTCCTTCCTTCCTTCCTTCCTTCCTTCCTTCCTTCCTTCCTTCCTTTTCTTCTTTTTCCTTCCCTCTTCATTCTCCTTTCTTCTTCCTTCCCCTCTTTCCGTATTTTTCCTTCCTTCCTTCCTTCCTTCCTTCCTTCCTTCCTTCCTTCCTTCCTTCCTTCCTTCCTTCTTCCTTCCTTCCTTCCTTCCTTCCTTTTCTTCTTTTTCTTTCCCTCTTCATTCTCCTTTCTTCTTCTTTCCCCTCTTTCCATATTTTTCCTTCCTTCCTTCCTTCTTTCTCCTTCCGTCTTCCTTCTCCTTTCTTCTTCCTTTCCCTCTTTCTGTATTTTTCCTTCCTTGCTCTCTTCCCATCTTCCCTTCTTTTTTTTTTCTTTTTTCCCTTTCTCCTTTCCTGCCCCTTCTTGGATGCTCAAATGCAAAAGGGGAAACATTTCTTCCAGGGGCGGTATTGACTTCCCTTCACTACCGGTTCGCAAATGCATGCGCAGAGCATCAAAAACGGGACGTGATGACATCCGGGCAGGTGGGCGGAGCCTCATACAGCCACCCCAACCGGTTCTCCCGAACCGGATAGAACCGGCTCAATATCACCACTGATTTCTCCTTTTGTTTTGTTTTGCTTTTAGTTTGTTTTGCGAGCCCTCTGTCAGCGAAAAAGGAGCTCTGGGCAGCGCGCATGGCAGAGGGCTGCAGGAGGCCGTCATGGCCGAAAACGGGGCCCAGGGGTCTTGAGTTTGATACCCCTGCCTTTGTCGATGCTTAGTCTGCAGCTCAATTATAAGTATCTTGGTGATTTAATGGAGACTTAAACAGTGATTGGTGATTTAATGGAGACTTTAATAGCACTTCTGTTGCTCAAGGGGCTCAATAAAAATGCTCATAGCATGAGATACTGCCAGACCATTTACTTGAGCTCAAATTTCCATTGCTGAGTGCGACGGTTGTTAAGTGAGCTTTGCCTCGTTTTAAAGGTAGTCCTCAACGTCCGACCACAACTGAGCCCCAAAATTTATGTTGTTAAGTCAGAAATTTGTTAAGTGTCCCATTTTACGGCTTTTCTTGCTTGAGGGAATCACTGAAGTTGTTAAAATAGCACCGTTGTTAAGTGAATCTGGCTTCCCCATTGGCCTTTGCTTTCACAAGATCACAGAAGGTGATCCCCTGCAAATATGAAGCAGTTATCAAGCATCCAAATGTAAATCATGTGACCGCAATGGTCGTAAGTGTGAAAAATGGTCGTAAGTGTGAAAAATAGTCGTAAGTGTGAAAAATAGTCGTAAGTGTGAAAAATGCTCGTAAGTCACTTTTTTCAGGACCCTTGTAACTTTGAACAATCACTAACCAACTGTTGTAAGTCGAGGGCTACCTGTACAATCTTAATTAAGCGTCACCGTTATTAAGTGAATCATTTGCAGCTGTTAAGTTAGGTTGAGGGTTAACATGGTTGTTAAGTGAACCTGGCTTCCTCATTGACTTTGCTTTCACAAGGTCACAAAAGGTGATCGATCGCCTGACCCCGGGACACTGCGACCGTCATAAATATGAATCAGTTGCCAAGGGTCTGAATTTTGATCACGTGGCTATGGGGATGCTGCAACAGTCGTAAATATGAAACAGTCGTAAATAAGGTTCAGGGCCATTGTGACTCTGAGCAGTCATTAAACGAACTGTTTTAAGTCAAGCATTACCTGGAAACAATTTGTGGAATTTTAATGCTCTTCTACAGGGACGCGGTGGCTCAGTGGCTAAGATTCTGAGCTTGTCGATCAAAAGGTCGGCAGTTCAGCGGTTCAAATCCCGAGTGCCGTGTAACGGGGTGATCTCCTGTGATTTGTCCCAGCTTCTGCCAACCTAGCAGTTCAAAAGCACGTAAAAAATGCAAGTAGAAAAATAGGGACCACCTTTGGTGGGAAGGTAACAGCGTTCCGTGCGCCTTTGGTGTTGAGTCATGCCGGCCACATGACCACGGAGATGTCTTCGGACAGCGCTAGCTCTTCGGCTTTGAAACGGAGATGAACTAGGCGTTCCCGACCCCTAGAGTCAGGAACGCCTAGCACATATGTGCGAGGGGAACCTTTACCTTTACCTTTAATCAGCGGTGTATTTCAAAAAATTTTACTACCGGTTCTGTGGGTGTGGCTTGGTGGGCGTGGCATGGCTTGGTGGGCGTGGCAGGGGAAGGATACTGCAAAATCCCCATTTCCTCCCAATCAGCTGGGACCCGGGAGGCAGAGAATAGATGGGGGCGGGGCCAGTCAGAGGTGGTATTTACCGGTTCTCCGAACTACTCAAAATTTCCGCTACCGGTTTTCCAGAAGTGGTCAGAACCTGCTGAAACCCACTTCTGCCTTTAACGCTCTTCTGTTGTAATCTTTATCAGAAAACTACACTTTTTTTTTTCCAGATTACAGGAGCTAATTTAATACGATTTATTTTTCATGGAATTTGCAACTAGATTTGGTTTTCATTTATTGCAAAACCCCAATCAAATCACATCTTTTAAAACCCGCAGGCCAGTTTTTGTCTGGGAGGAAGGAATCTTTTGCTGAGGTCTGTGAAACTGGCTTTCGTCCTAAATCGAAAGAAAGCATCGCAGCACGAAATGAAGAAGACGACCAGTTTTCAAATCTCATGGAACAACTCGGAGCCGGGAATATCTTGAAGGAGTAAGTATGGCCCCTGAAACAATAGAGAGACAGAAGAAGCACAGAAACTCCCATCGTTCTGGGAGTCTGGCTAGGTGGCTCAGTGGCTAAGACACTGAGCTTGTCAATCAGAAAGGTCGGCAGTTTGGCGGTTCGAATCCCTAGTGAACAGGTCTGAGTGAGCAGGGGGTTGGACTAGATGGCCTTCAAGGGCCCTTCCAACTCTGTTACTGTTTTGGTTTGTGCTATTTTGGCCTGGAAAAAAGTCAAGTGTATGAATATACCAAGGTTGAAAAAAATATACCCACTTGTGCAAGAAAACCTGGTTCCAGACTTGTTTAAAATATCATTGGAGAAAAAAAAAAAGAACATATTTATAATTTCCACCTGGCAATAGGCTTACAGTAATGGCCAAACTTGTGGAAACCTTTTGGGAAAAGTGTATTTTCTAAAACTAGCTAATAACACCACTTTTTTTGGGGAGTAGTACAGTGGTAGGTTGCCCCGGTTCGGACCGATTCTATAGAACCGGTAGTAAAACCAGCAGGAGGCTCCGCCCACTGACCCTGACATCATGAGAAGCGATCTGCACATGTGCAGAAGCAAGACGCGTGTGCGAGTGAAATGAGCGCGTGCGCGCAATCCCAGTGCAAACCAGTAGTAAAGGTAAGTAGAACCCACCCCTGGAGTAGTACCATAACGTTATATATCAATGGAAAGATAATTTAGTCAAGGATGTAATGCAATCACTTTTATGAAGGATTTGCTATTAGAATAGCAGTTGCAGTATAAAGAAGAAAAGTGAAACACGTAGAAAAAGCGAGATCTACAAAAATGATCACCATAGAAAAAATGAAATATACAAAAATGATCCCCATGTCAGTTAATACTTAGTTGGGTAACCTTTAGCATGAATGACGGCCTTACAACGTCTTCCCATAGAGTGAACCAAGTCTTTTAGTTCTGCAGCTGTTCTAATGTGAAACCAAGATCGAAGGATGGCTTCTATTAACTGGGTTTTATTGCTGGGTGGCTTCTGACTGACAAGTTTCTTTAGTGGGCTCCATAGATTTTCAATTGGGTGAAGGTCTGGGCTATTCCCAGGCCATTCCAGCAGTGGAATAGGATTATCTTGAAACTCCCCCCCAAAAAGGGGGTGTTATTAGCCATCAAACCTCACAAATACACTTTTCCCAAAAGGTTTCCACAATTTTGGCCGCTGCTGTATTTTTCCGTCTCCCAGGAGCAGATCCAAAATGAGTTTCTGTGGTTCTCTATTTTATTCTCCCCTTTTGTCATCTGCTCTGCGACCCAACTGGAATCCTGTTTTCCAGAGTGGAAAACGGAATCCTCTAGAACGTTTTGGCGGTTGCTTTCCACTTGTTGCCCTCAAGTAATGAGTGGGAACAATTAACCAGTGGAACAACTGGCCACCAGAAGTTGTGGGTGCTCCATCATTGGACGTTTTGGGCTCAGTTATGGTTGTAAGTCAAAAACTACCTGGATTTACTTCGATAAGGTTTTTATCTACCGTGTTTCCCTGAAAATAAGACCCCGTCTTATATTTTTTTGAACCCCGAAATAAGCGCTTGGCCTTATTTTCAGGGAAGTCTTTATTATTTTGGGGCGCATGGAGCAAGATGGGGCTCCTCTTGCTGTCTTACCTGATTTCCAGCTCTGCATTTAAATATTTTCGGAGGGAGGCTTATTTTAGCACATGCGCTCAAAAGCCCGATTGGGCTTATTATCAGGGGGATGTCTTATTTTTGGGGAAACAGGGTAGCTTTTATTCTCTGCCTACAGTCATAAGTTTTGTTTTCTTTTTTTTTATTTATATGTCGCCCTTCTCCGGAGACTCAGGGCGGCTTACAATGCGTTAAGCAATAGCCTTCATACTTTTGTATATTTTATACAAAGTCAGTTTATTGCCCCCACAAACCGGGTCTTCATTTTACCTACCTTAGAAAGGATGGAAGGCTGAGTCAACCTTGAGCCTGGCAAGATTCGAACTTACTAATTGCAGACAGCTGGAGTTAAATTACAATGCATTAGTCTGCTGAGCTATCCAGGCTCAGTTGGATAGCTCTGAGTTGGGAGGGTCCCTAGAGGTCTTCTAGTCCACCCCGCTGCTTTGGCAGTAATCAAGTGACAGTGAGAACAATCAAGAGTATAGTAAGTCCCCAGAGGAGCTGTGAGGCTGGTTGGTGCGGGAGGGATGGAGATGGAAAGGGGGGGGGCATGTCCAGGATCGCCCCCGGAGGCTCCAGAGTGCTACGAATTCAATTAAAAGAGTTGGGAGGGTCCCTAGAGGTCTTCTAGTCCACCCCCTTGAGCCTGGTGAGAATTGAACTCGCAGTAATTGCAGGCAGCTGGAAGCTAAATACTACCTTTTAACAGTAGCATTAGTCTGCTGCGCCACTCAGGCTCAAGTTTAAGATGAAAGACCACGCAAGTTCAATAAATAAATGAAATCAGAATTGAAAAAAAAGAAAAGGAAAGGAAAAAGCCACCGATTCTCTCATCTGTCCTCAGGATTCTTACATTATGGCACCAGAATGCTAAAATTATACTTTCTACTGAAACCTCTGAGAATTAGATCCTAACCTGCATTTCTTTTTCTTTTTTCTTTTCCCCCAGTGAAGACAACGTGAAGAAGCTCTGGCTGCACCTGAAGAAACATGTGCCTCACCTACTTTCCAATTTCGAAGAATTCCTGACAAAAATCTTCTCTCAGCTCCACGAAGCTGATGATGAAAAGAACACCTTGGAGTGCGCCCTGCAAAAGTAAATGCTTCTTTTATGAGAGCTTTTTCAGGGGATTTTTTTTTACCTCGTGTTTCTTTCATTGGGATTCTTTTGGGGCAGAAAATTAGTGCGTAACGCATGTTGAAAGCTACAGCAGCAGGTTCGATGGGATCCATGCGAGGTTTTTGGCCCCACGAGTATAATATCCATCCCATTAAACCCGCATCTAGATAGATAGAATAGAATAGAATTTTTTATTGGCCAAGTGTGATTGGACGCATAAGGAATTTGTCTTTGGTGCATAAGCTCTCAGTGTACATAAAAAGAAAAGATACATTCGTCAAGGATCATAAGGTACAACACTTAATGATAGTCATAGGGAACAAATAAGCAATCAAATCATACTAGGAAACAATATAAATCGTAAGGATGCAAGTAACAAAGTTACAGTCATGCAGTCATAAGTGGGAGGAGATGGGTGATAGGAACGATGAGAAGATTAATAGTAATAGTAATGCAGACTTAGTGAATAGTTTGACAGTGTTGAGGGAATTATTTGTTTAGCAGAGTGATGGAATTCGGGAAAAAAATGTCCTTGTGTCTAGTTGTTCTGGTGTGAAGTGTTCTATAGCATCGTTTTGAGGGTAGGAGTTGAAACAGTTTATGTCCAGGATGCGAGGGGTCTGTAAATATTTTCACATCCTTCTTTTTGACTCGTGCAGTATACAGGTCCTCAATGGAAGGCAGGTTGGTAGCCATTGTCTTTTTTGCAGTTCTAATTATCCTCTGAAGTCTGGGTCTGTCTTGTTGGATTGCAGAACCAAACTAGATCGTTATAGAGGTGCAGATGACAGATGCCATGTAGGATGTACTGATAGTCCTCGATTTACGGCCACAATTGAGTCCCAACATTTCTGTTGCTATAATGAGACAGTCATTAAGTGAATTTTACTCCATTTTACGACCTTTCTTGCCATAGTTATTAAGGGAATCACTTATTGCTACCCTATGACTATCATTAAGTGTTGTACCTTATGATTCTTGATGAATGTATCTTTTCTTTTATGTACACTGAGAGTGTATGCACCAAAGACAAATTCCTTGGGTGTCCAATCACACTTGGCCAATAAAGAATTCTATTCTATTCTATTCTATTCTATTCTATTCTATTCTATTCTATTCTATTCTATTCTATTCTATTCTATTCTATTCTATAGTTGATAAGTTAGTAACACAGTTGTGATGTGAATCTGGCGAACACAAAGTCACTTTTTTCACTGCTGTTGTAACTTTGAACGGTCACTAAATGAGCTGTTGTAACTTGAGGACTACCTGTATTGAAATGACCCTGAGCATGACTTGCAAAGCAGCTGTAGATTTATCTGGTACATTTGCCTGCCTATCCACACTGGACTTTCTCTTAAAAAGAGGATTATACGGTTTCTCGTCTCTCTTTTTTGCTGGTGCTTTTTTTTTTTTTGCTGGTGCTCCAACCAAGATGTAATTTATTGTATTTTTTAAAATCCCATATCAGCAAAATGTCTGCCTACGATGATGAAATCCAGTATCTGTATGAAGAAATGGAGCAGCAGATCAAAACCGAGAAAGAAAAAGTCGTGTTGGAGGCAAGTATAACTTTTAATATGGGCAGTGGTGGGGTGCAACAGGTTAAACAACTGGTTCTGTGAGAGAATGCTCTGCGTGCGTACACGGGCTACACGCGCCCACACGCTTAACACACTTGCGCGCAGCGTTCAAAATGCAGCAATTTGAAGCTCAGCTGGTTACCTTCTGAGGCAGCCCCGGTAAATAGAACAGCGGAGGCGCGAAAATCAGCTGTGCTGCGTGAATCAACTGAGCCGGAAAGAAGGAAATATAGAACAGGATAGGGCAGGTGCGGGTGGGGGGGCCAGCTGATAGTCGGAACTACTGGTTTGCCCGAACCCAAGGGTGAAATCCAGCAGGTTCTGACAGGTTCTGGAGAATGAGTAGCGGAAATTTTGAGTAGTTCGGAGAACCGGCAAATACCACCTCTGGCTGGCCCCTGGAGTGGGGAGGGAATGGGGATTTTACAGTATCCTTCCCCAGGAGTGGGATGGGAATGGAGATTTTGCAGTATCCTTCCCCTCGAGTGAAGAGAGAATGGGGATTTTGCAGTATCCTTCCCCAGGAGTGAAGAGGGAATGTGGATTTTGCAGTATCCTTCCCCAGGAGTGAAGAGGGAATGTGGATTTTGCAGTATCCTTTCCCAGGAATGAAGAGGGAATGGGGATTTTGCAGTATCTTTCCCCTGGAGTAGGGTGAGAATGGGGATTTTGCAGTATCCTTCCCCAGGAGTGAAGAGGGAATGGGGATTTTGCAGTATCCTTCCCCTGGAGTGAAGAGGGAATGGGGATTTTGCAGTATCCTTCTCCTGGAGTGGGGTGGGAATGGAGATTTTGCAGTATTCTTCCCCTGCCACGCCCACCAAGCAACACCACGCCCACCAAGCCACGCCCACAGAACTGGTAGTAAAAAAAATTGGGATTTCACCACTGCCTGAACTGGTCCAAATCATCAGCAGAGCACTACTGAATATGGGTGTGAAAGGACTGATGGATGTAGAATATGACTGCAGAGTTATTCTCGCACTATAATAGTAAAATAAACTATGGCGCCAAGCATTGGATCTTGTAATTTAAGAATTTAAAATGCCTGACCTCATTCCTTTTGTCTTTAAAATCCCCATTCTCTCTTCAGATTCTCCTTTCTGCGCATCACCATATTCTGCCTTTCTTGATGCATTCTAGTTAACAATACAGATGGTCCTCAGTTTATGACTAATGGAATCTGCCCATTACGGTTGCAATTCAAGATGGTCGTAAAGCAGGCCATCTCATAACCAACCTGATTTTACAAGCTTTTTTTTTTTTTTTAATGGAGCTTGTTAAGCTCCGTTGTTCATTATGGGCATTTTTTTTTTTTTTTGCCAAAAGTTGGAAGTAAACTAGTGTCTTTCGACAAAAATGTAACTCGTGACTACAGGACATCGCAAGCAGCTATCAAAGTGAGCTGGTTCCTGAGCCCCTAAGTTTCTTCTTAGTTCTAACTTGCTTCTCTCCTTGATTAGTTTCCACCCATTGCTTCTTGTCCTGCCCTCAGGTGCTTTGGAGAATAGCTGGACTCCCTCTTCTTTGTGGCAGCCCCTGAGATATTGGAAGACTGCTGTCATGTCTCCCCTAGGCCTTCTTTTCATTAAACTAGACATACCAAGTTCCTGCAACCGTTCTTCATATGTTTTAGCCTCCAGTCCCCTAATCATCTTTGTTGCTCTTCTCTGCACTCTTTCTAGGGTCTCCACATCTTTTTTACATCGTGGCGACCAAAACTGAACACATTATTCCAAGTGTGGCCTTATCAAGCTTACTTACTTACTTGTCTTTAATTCCAGGTTGGTTCTCACTTTAATGAGCTTCCATCCATGGCTTCTTGTCCTGCCCTCAGGTGCTTTTGCAGAATAGGTTGACCCCCTCTTCTGTGTGACAGCCCTTCAAACATTGGACGAGTGCTATCATATCACCACTAGTCCTTCTTTTTCTTAAGACTAGACTCAATTGTTCATTGTATGGACTTCTTATCATCTCTCTTTTTTTAACCTGTACGAAGCATACCAAAAAGTTCTTTATGTATGTGTGTGTATCAGTGGTGGGTTGCCCCCGGTTCGGACCGGTTCTATAGAACCGGTAGTAAAACCGGCGGGAGGCTCCGCCCACTGACCCTGACGTCATCAGAAGCTATCAGCGCATGCGCAGAAGCGCGCAATCCCGTTGTGAACCGGTAGTAAGGGTAAGTAGAACCCATCCCTGGTGTATATGTGTGCATATGTGTTTAGTGTGTGTGGTTTTTTCCCCGCACATATGCATTGCAAAATAACAACGCTACACCGCCAGTTTATTCTTATAATTGGCTGTTTTGTTGACTCTAGACCAGTGGTGTCAAACTCAAGGCTCGGGGGCAGATTTGGCCCATGGAGTGCTTAGATCTGGCCCGTGGGGCCACTCTGCAAATAGTGAAGGACCAGCCTGTGGTGCCTCTGCCGTCAAAAATGGAGCTTGCAAGGGCCACCTGTGCCCCCTTCCCACCCCCGAGCTCTGTTTACGCTGGCAGAGGGTTGCAGGAGGCCGTCGCAGCCGAAAACGGAGGTCGGGAGCCCGTTTTCGCTGGCACAGCGCTTGGGCCACCACAGCCCCCCCCCTCCTGACACAAGTGATGTCATGCTGGCCACACCCACCCCAGCCCCGCCCACCCCAGCCCCCCCAAGCTCATACACAATCCTGATGCGGCCCTCAATGAAATCCAGTTTGACACCCCTGCGCCTAGACAGTGTTTTTAGCTAAAACCCTCGTGCTCTTTTCATTCTTGTCCAATTTCGCAGGGCGCTGAGAGGTTCCAGTCCCGACAGCAGGTACTGGAAGAAAAACTTGTCGAAAAGGAGAAGGAATTCGAGCAGCTGTCTCAGAAGCAGAAAATAGTAGGTGGAAATTACGCTGTTGCAATAGCAGCAATTTTTTTAAGTAAGCTTAGCCATACGGTGGCAGTCTGCTATATCATTTTAGCTGCACTTGTAAGAAAGCCCATTAGCTTTGAACCAAGTCTCGCCATCACTTCAATGGTTGCTATAACTATTGGTTCCTTTATGGAAAGATGTCTATGATTGACCATTTCATCTGTCTAGGACATGCCAGAAAATATGAGAAATTGAAACTCTTGTCATGCGACTTTTTATGTTTAGTACTTTATTCTTCAAATTAAATTTAATCCTCAGAAATTTTATTTTTAAACTTCTTTTTAATTTATTATTATTGTCAAGGAAAATAACCAAAAAGGAATAATAACGGTAAAGAAGAAAAAACAACAACAATGCAAGCAATAGGATACATGTAAATAACAAACAAATTACGAATAAACAGCAGATTGAAAATATTATATAGCTAATTGCACTGGTGTCAGAAGCACTGAGGCACTTCCGGGTTGAAAGGATAAGCAGGTGACATCACCATTGCCCAGAGGACATCCAGTTGGGGGCTCCTTTCAGGTCCCTGGCAGGAGCTGGAGCAAAGGACGGGAGCTCAACCCTACCCAATGGCAGCACGCAGGTCTCAAACGCAGGCGTGCTAATCTCCATCCCAGCCCCCTAAAGGAGCCATCGTGCTCCTTTATATGGCTAATATATTTTAATTAATCATTAACAACTTAAAGTACTACAGGTAGTCCTCGACTTACAGCAGTTCATAGAGTGACCGTTCAAAGCTACAACGGCACTGAAAAAAGTGATTTACGACCCTTTTTCACACTTAGAACCATTGCAGCGTCCCCCATGGACCCACGATCAAAATTTAGACAACTGACTCATATTTATGACGGTTGCAGACTGAGTCGCGTGATCCCCTTTTGCGACCTTCTGACAAGTCAACGGGGGGGGGGGAAGCCAGATTCACTTAACAACCGCGTTACTAACTTAACAAATGCAGTGATTCTCTTACCAACTATGGCGAGAGAGAGGTCGTAAAATGGGGCAAAACTCACTTAACGTCTTGTGTCGCTTCCCAACAAGAAAATTTTGGGCTCCATGGTGGTCATAAGTCGAAGAGTGCCTGTGTTATGTGACGGTTTGCTTGCTTTCTGGAATATTCCATGGAACAAAATGACAAAAAAGCAAAGTTATTTTTTTTTATTTATCAAGGCAACCTGGTCTGCCCAAACATAAATAAATATAAATGTAACACCCTAAAAAGCAAAGACTTTTATTTCTTCTGTTTCCTCTGAAAGAAAAGAAACAGGGACCTTAAAAGCCACCACACGAGACGTGGGTTTCAGCAGGTTCTGACCAGTTCTGGAGAACCGGTATCGGAAATTTTGAGTAGTTCGGAGAACCGGTAAATACCACCTCTGACTGGCCCCGCCCCCGTCTTGGCTTTGCCTCCCAAATCCCAGCTGATTGGGAGGAAATGGGGATTTTATTTATTTATTACATGTATTTATATGCCGCCATTCTCCCGAAGGACTCAGGGCGGCGAACACAAGTTAAGAAACAAGTACAATAAAATCATAATTTAATCCAAATAACTAATTAGTAGTAAATAATAAAGCCCGGAATCAGTCTCAGCCTATTTGTTTGAAAAGCCAAATCTTCAAGTCCCGACAGAAGGAGCGGAGATCAGGAGCCGTCCGGAGCTCAGTAGGTAATTCATTCCAGAGGGTGGGAGTACCGACAGAGAAAGCCCTACCCCTGGGCACAGCAAGGCGACATTGGCTCGCCGTCGGAACCCTGAAGAGAGCGGCCCTATGTGAGCGAACAGGACGGTGAGAGGCAGGCAGGAGAAGGTCATGCAAATATCCCGGACCTAAGTCATGAAGGGCCTTATAGGTGAGGACTAGCACCTTGAAGCGGACCCGGAGAACCACTGGTAACCAGTGCAGCTCACGCAGGAGGGGTGTTATATGGGAGTAACGAGGGGCTCCCATAACAACCCGTGCAGCTGCATTCCGGATCAGCTGGAGTCTCGGGTGCATCTCAGGGGCAGGCCCATGTAGAGGGAATTGCAGTAATCCAAGCGGGAAGTAACCAGGGCATGAGTGACTGTGCGAAGGTCATCTCGGTCCAGGAAAGGGCGCAAACTGGCGCACCAGGCGAACCTGTGCGAAGGCCCCCCTGGTCACAGCCGTTAGATGGTCTTTTGCAGTATCCTTCCCCTGGAGTGGGGAGGGAATGGAGATTTTACAGTATCCTTCCCCTGGATTGGGGAGGGAATGGAGATTTTACAGTATCCTTCCCCTGCCACGCCCACCAAGCCACGCCCACCAAACCATGCCACGCCCACCAAGCCACACCCACCGAACCGGTAGTAAAAAAAATTGAAATCCACCCCTGCACCACACCGCCTGACCGATAGGACCTCCGGAACAAATCCTTTTAAACAAAGATCAGCCCCTCACACTGCATTGCCCTCTGCTTATTTTTCAAGTCCGACACAGTGAATTTAACTTCTTTAGCCGGCTGGCCAGATGATCTATGTCCCATAAATATCAGCCTGACCTCTGCGGAACTGACTCAACCCAGCTCTTACTGAGAAGCTGTAAATAATCCCAAATGTTTCTTAGCGGCGTTTGAAGGTTCAAGTGTAGGTAAACCGAGAAGTTCACATGGCCTGAAAAATAACCCGTTCAGGCGGGATCGGCTTGTTGTCACTGTTCTTGGAGGATTTACGGGCCACTCCTGCTATCTCCCTTCTAACCTGTTTTTAGGGCCATGTTCGTTTTATTTGTGCTCTTTTGAAAAAGTGCCCACTTCAGCCATCAGCTGCCTTATTACATCGTTGTCATGGTAATGCTGGTTTAAGCCTAGATGATTCGATAATTGAATTTTGTAAAAAAAAAAAAAATAGAAATGAAATGAAATGAAATGAAAATACATTTGCTTTTATTCAGAAAGATTAATTATTTATTTAGTGCAAGTGGTTCTGTAATTGATTGAATGTAAGCAGATTACAAAAGCCAGCAAATATACTGAATACATACACACACACACACACGCACACACACATATATATACACACATATATACATACATACATATATATACACACATACATACACATTATATATATATATTCAAACATGTGTATACATACATACATATATATATATATATATATATATATATATATATGTAGGAAAAACCTGGCTAGAGGAAAAACACACACATATATATATACATACACACATATATATACACATACACATATGTATGTATATATATATATACATACATATATACACACACATACACCCACCCACACATATATGTACACACACACACATATATATATATAAAAACATATATATATAAATTTTCAAGCACAGATAAAATACATATCAAATAGTATACACGTAGTCCTCGACTTACGACAACAATGGAGCCCAAAATTTCTGTTGTTAAGCGAAACACTTTTATCCCCCATCTATTCTCTGCCTCCCGAGTCCCAACTGATCGGGAGGACATGGGGATTTTGCAGTAACCTTCCCCTGGAGTGGGGTGGGAATGGAGATTTTACAGTATCCGTCCCAGGCCACGCCCACCAAGCCACGCCCACAGAACCGGTAGTAAAAAAAATGTTTGAAACTCACCACTGCATCCAAGTCATGGTTGTCCCAAAAATGCTTTTTCAAGAGGCAATTGGATTTTCTGGTTTTTCTTTGAAGACATTTCGCTTCTCATGCGAGAAGCTTCTTCAGCTTGGACTGGATGGGGATGAGTCTGCGACCCTTGCAGACAGCTGCGTATAAATCCAGTCAGAGATGAAGAAGCTTCTTGGATGAGGAGCGAAACGTCTTCAAAAACCCCCAAGAAAGTCCAGTTCCCTCCTGAAAATGCACCTTTGGGACATTTTGAATGGGTATCGAAATGAAAGTCACCAACGTTTTTTTAAAAATTGATTTGACTTTGGGGCATCTAGAGGTCTTTGTTAAAATTTTATATGTAGATTTTTTTTTCTTAAAAATGTATGCATTTGCATTATAGCTATCTTTGTGTTTTTCTTCTTTTTTCTGTTATAGTTTTAAAAACAATAAGAATAAATAAAAAAAACACAGCTCTGGAGGCGTTTTATGGACCTGTGCTTAATAAAAAATCCATTCCACTGGGTTTTTTTAAAATACGTTTTTCTTTTTCATACAGTTGGACAAACAATGCAAAGAGCTACGCAATGTTAAGTATGACACGACCACGGAAAATACCAAATTGAAGGTTACTAACCAAGAGCTTCTCAGTTCGCTGGAGAGAACCTCCGAGGAGTTAATTATTGCTCAACAGCAGTTGGAAATTCTTCAGGATGAAGCTAAAAAACTGCAGGAAGAAAAGGAAATGTGAGTAATTCTGGAAAAGAGGAATTAACATAAGGAGGTTGATTTATCAAAGGACAGATACTTTATGACACAAATGAAATCGCACTGATCAGAGAGTGGCCACTGGAAGAGAAAAGTCTAAGGGTGGCCTGGAAATTTGCCCAAATGAGGTTGTTGTTGTTGTTTTTTAAATAGTTTTTATTAAACATTTTTCACCTTTAAAAACAAAAACAGAAAAATAAAAACAAGACAAACAACAATGTAAAGTAGTTTTACAGCCTTCCGTATCAGCATATATTGTTCTGGCTAATTGTTCAACCTCCCGTCTGTATGCGGATTCATCATCGAATGAGACCGATCACTGTTGTGTCATCTGCGAACTTCAGTAGTTTAACACAGTCCATCTTTGGGACTGCAACAAGCTCAAAACCACAGCACTTCACTCTCTCACGCAATCTCTCTTCCTTAGTTATGAATAGGTAATCTGTTACTCTTCTTAGAACACAAATAACACTTTTTTCAGCGGCTTTCAAGAGCGTCGTGTTTTTTTCCTGCCGGACGTTCTTCTCATTTTGTTCTTAGTTTCATGGAATTTTAGTGAACGCAAAACTTGAAAAGTCTGTTTGTTTGTTTGTTTTTATTATCAGAGAAGAGATTCAAGCTACACACTTATTGGGAGCAGCGTTAATTTTATGACGTCGCCACTGATTCTTTTCTTAGATTATGATTTGGATCATCCGGGAGAGAGAATAAACAATAAGTTGAACAGACAAACATTCAGCAAGACGTGGAATACGATTTGCTGATTTTGCTTGGTTAACATTGAGGAAAGTCTCCAGAGCTTCATTGAACTAATGCTGCATCTGTAAAATTGTAGGGTTTTTTTTTTTTCCCCACCCCATAAAAATAAAAGTTTAACAATCTTCCCACACTGGATCTTTGCTTTACTTTTATTGTGTCTCAAGAGCAATTTTCTGTCCGGCTTTAGATTAAAAGTAGCCATTAACAATAAATAAACTGGAGTAATTAGGAATTTAGTCCGTTTCTGTAGTTATTAGTGCCATACTTAACAAGAGAAAGTAAATCACAGCTCTATTGGTGTTTCGTCTAAGCAGGTCGAACTGGATTTTACATAACCCTTCTTTTGTTTCCTCTCCAGTGAGATTTGCCGGGTGACAGAAATATTAGAGAGGGAGAAATTAGGACTTCTTAAACAATTGGATTTTTTGAGGTAAGATTTCCAAAACAAGTTTTGTGTGTCTTCATGTGTGTGTGTGGAAGTCATCTTCCTTTTTGATGAATGTGTTCTTTATCACGGGAGTTGTATAAGGAAGACAAAGCTGTTTGTTTAAATAAAAACAGGTCAGGGACTGAATGCACATACATATTTTTCCCGGTAAAATTGGAGCATTTATCATAAAATCTAGGTTGGGTCATTCTAGATGGGCCAGTCAGACAGGGAAGGCCATTGGGGCTTCCATTAATGGCAAAAATTAAGTACCGTATTTTTCGGAGTATAAGACACACCTACCTTTTTTTGGGAGGAAAACAAGAAAAAAAAACCTGCCTCTGCCGCCCAGCAATTTGCCTCCTTGCAGCAAACAGTAAACAGCCTGTTTCATTTTCATTTTCAGCACAGCCTGATTAGCACAAGCAGCTGATTGTCGGTTGGATCAGCCTCCCGAGGATCAGCTGTTTCAGGCTGCACGGATTGCCATAGCCTATTGCCCCCTCCACATGCCCCGTCTTTGGCCTCCACACTTTTCCGCCCGTTCTGGGCTGAGGGGATCAGAATGGGCGGGAAACGACCGCGCCTCGTTTGTCTTGATTCAGTTGCGTAGTTTTCAACTTACGAGCTACTTGGAACTGCTTACGTCTTCTTCTGCTTGGCTCCATCCTTAATTTGTGACTCTGTAATTCACCAGTAGAAGAAACGTATCAAATCCTAGCATTCAGAACCTACTTTTTAAAAAACGACATCTCAGAAGTTCCCCACAAAACAAAAATAGGAATAAAATACAACCATTGGGCCAGGATAAATACTTTGCCCCCAGATTGGAAACGTTTACTGGTAAATGGGCAGTCTTGAAAGATATCCTTTAATTTTGGTGTTTTTCCTTCTCTCTCTCCTTCCCTCCCTCCTCCTTCCTTCCATCCCTTTCTTCCCATCTCCCTCCCTCCTCCCTCCCTCCCATTCTCTCTCTTCCTTCCTTCCTTCCTTCTTCCCTTCTTCCTTCCCTTCCTGTCTTCCCATCTCCCTCCCTCCTCCCTCCCTTTTCCTTCCGTTCCTTTCTTCCCACCTCCCTCTCTTTCCTTCCTTCCTTCCTTTCCTTCCTTCCCTCCCTCTTCCTTCCATCCTTTTCTTCCCATCTCCCTCCCTCCTCCCTCCCTCCCTTTTCCTTCCGTTCTTTCTTCCCACCTCCCTCTCTTTCCTTCCTTCCTTTCCTTCCTTCCTTCCTTCCCTCCCTCCCTCTTCCTTCCATCCCTTTCTTCCCATCTCCCTCCCTCCCTTTTCCTTCCATTCTTTCTTCCCATCTCCCTCCCTCCCTCCTCCCTCCCTTTTCCTTCCGTTCCTTTCTTCCCACCTCCCTCTCTTTCCTTCCTTCCTTCCTTTCCTTCCTTCCCTCCCTCTTCCTTCCATCCCTTTCTTCCCATCTCCCTCCCTCCTCCCTCCCTCCCTTTTCCTTCGGTTCTTTCTTCCCACCTCCCTCTCTTTCCTTCCTTCCTTCCTTTCCTTCCTTCCTTCCTTCCCTCCCTCCCTCTTCCTTCCATCCCTTTCTTCCCATCTCCCTCCCTCCCTTTTCCTTCCATTCTTTCTTCCCATCTCCCTCCCTCCTCCCTCCCTCCCTTTTCCTTCCGTTCTTTCTTCCCACCTCCCTCTCTTTCCTTCCTTCCTTCCTTTCCTTCCTTCCTTCCCTCCCTCCCTCTTCCTTCCCTCCCTTTCTTCCCATCTCCCTCCCTCCTCCCTCCCTCCCTTTTCCTTCCGTTCCTTTCTTCCCACCTCCCTCCCTTTCTTTCCTTCCTTCCTTCCTTCTTTCCTTCCTTCCTTCCTTTCCTTCCTTCCTTCCCTCCCTCCCTCTTCCTTCCCTCCCTTTCTTCCCATCTCCCTCCCTCCTCCCTCCCTCCTTTTTCCTTCCGTTCTTTCTTCCCACCTCCCTCTCTTTCCTTCCTTCCTTCCCTTCCTTCCTTCCTTCCCTCCCTTTCTTCCCATCTCCCTCCCTCCCTTTTCCTTCCGTTCCTTTCTTCCCACCTCCCTCTCTTTCCTTCCTTCCTTCCTTTCCTTCCTTCCCTTCCTTCCTTCCTTCCCTCCCTTTCTTCCCATCTCCCTCCCTCCCTTTTCCTTCTGTTCCTTTCTTCCCATCTCCCTTTTTTTCCTTCTTTCCTTCCTTCCTTCCTTCATTCCTTCCTTCCTCATCACAGGGAAAGGAACAAACATCTGAGTGATGAACGTGACGTGTGTCTTCAGCGGGTACGTTCCGTAGCTTTTCGGCTAAAAAGGGTGGGTTAGGGTCTGGCCGGGGAGAACAGAGGACTCAGCTTTCTGGATGGCCAGAGGGTCGGTCACCTGTCAAATCAAAAATGAAATGATTTATTGGTCATTATAAGCCCCTGGTCTTGAAAGGGGGGGAGCAGCAAGCCCCCTGACTGACCATGTCCTTTTGATTCGATGTGATATCCTTGATACTTTTGGAAAAAAATGTCCATCTGGGTTCAGTTCCAAGTGGGGAGAAAGACACTGGAAACATGGAGGCTGTTTGGAAAGATGGTTTAATGGTGGAACGGACCACATGGCTTGAAGTCCTGGGTAGCTGACCACATGGATGGAGAGCGAGATATATCCTTTCTTGGGCTTTGAACTTGCTTCCTGTTCCTGTGAAAGAACAACCGATTGGTTGTCAGATTCCCATGGGCCATGCAGGGGTAACTTTGTAGGTTGTCTTGAGTCCCAGGCTTGGTTGAATCTTGCTGGGTGATGCAATCTTCCCAGGTGCCATGTGGTGAGATGGGTAGAGAGCTAATCCTATTACGTCCTGAGGATGAAGATCCTTTGTCTTGTAGATAAACTGGCCCAGCCTTTTGTCTTGTAGATAGGATGGCCCAGTCTTTCTGGGGCAAAGGTGGGGGCTGCTTTCCAAGAGCATGTATCTCCTTTTCTTATCCAGGGAGGTATAATATTCTGCCTTTTTAATATTTCCTAGAATATTTCATTCTTCTAGGAGAGGGGTGGGTGCTAACTTCCTACAATGCCGAAATATGTATTTATTTCTTTTTTTGATAATGATTCCATCACAGACTACAAATTCTGGAGCTTAATTGTCTGGCACCTGGCTTACGCAGCAAAATTCCAAAATTCCAAAATTTGTTTTGAAATTCAGATCTCAATTTACAAGGCTGCCCCCCCAACTCCCAGAATTCCTGAGCCCAGCCATGCTGACTAAGGAGCCATGCTGGCTCAGGAATTCTGGGAGTTGAAGTCATAACACAAGCCTGACTAGGTGGCTCAGTGGCTAAGACACTGAGCTGGTCGATCAGAAAGGTCGGCAGTTCGGCGGTTCGAATCCCTAGTAACTGCTCTCCTGCGTGAGCAAGGGGTTGGACTAGATGACCTCCAAGGTCCCTTCCAACATCGTTTCCCACCTCTGGCTTAGTTTTAGTTTAGTTTAGTTTTATTAAATTTATATACCGCCCTACTCCCGAAGGACTCAGGGCGGTGAACAGGCACAGGATAAAATACAGAAATACAAAAGTTAAAAACAATTTAAAACCAAATTAAATAATTTAGCCCACGACAATTAAAATCCCAATAAATTTAAAACAAATTAAAATTTCAATTTAAAATTTAAAAGAAAGGGGAGAAAAATTAGGCCAGGCCGGCTTGCTGGAATAAGAGGGTCTTAAGAGCACGGCGGAAGGTGTGTAGATCCGGGATCCTCCGTATCTCCGGGGGGAGCACGTTCCAAATAGTGGGTGCCCCCACAGAGAAGGCCCTCCCCCTGGGGGCCGCCAGTCGACACTGCTTGGCTGACGGCACCCGGAGGAGCCCCTCTCTATGAGAGCGTACCGGCCAGTGGGAGGCTGTTTGTGGTAGTAGGCGGTCCCGTAAATAACCAGGTCCTAAGCCATGGAGCGCTTTAAAGGTGGTAAAAGAAGATCCATGTCTGAAGACCAGATATTTCATCCTACTACTCATGCCCTAATCAATGACCCAAAGGAGGACGAAGGATTTTTCTAGAAGCTGATGGACGCTGGAGACAGAGCCTAGAGCTATCGAAAGAGAAAATTCTCACTTGTTATAAATCATTAACAACTTAAAATGCGATAGGTCAGTGATGGCTAACCTTTTTACCGTCACGTGCCAAAAGCAGGGAGAGCGCAGGGGGTCACGCGCGTGCATGCCCACACCCATAATCCAATGCGCCCCCCCGATGTTCGCACGACCCACCCACCTGCACTCCCCCCACTTTTGGCATGCGATGGTCCGGTGGGCCCGGTAGGCCCGTTTTTTCGCCCTCCCCAGGCTCCAGAGGCTTTCTTGGAGTCTGGGGAGGGCGAAAACAGCCTTCCCCCACGCCCAGAGGCCCTCCGGAGGCCGGAAAAGGCCTGTTTGCTGACTTCCGGTGGGACAGGAAGGCCCAAAAATCAGCTGTGCGCACCAGAGCTGAGCTAGGGCAACGCTTGCGTGCCCACCGATATGGCTCCGCGTGCCACCTGTGGCACGTGTGCCATAGATTTGCCATCACGGTTATAGGTAGTCCTCAGCTTACAATGGTTTGCTTAGTGACCATTTGAACACCGTTACAACAACACTGAAAAGAGTGACATGACCGTTTTTCAAACTTTTGACTATTGCAGTATCCCCATGGTGAGGTAATTTACAGTCAGATGCTTGACAAACTGACTCATATTTATGACGGTTACAATGTCCCGGGATCACGTGATCCCCTTTTGCGACCTTTTGACAAACAATGTCCAGTGGGGAAGCCAGAGTCACTTAACAACCGTGTCACTAACTTAACCACACTTCAGTGATTCACTTAACAACCGTGGCAAGAAAGGTCGTAAAATGGGGCAAAATTCACTTCACAAATGTCTCACTTAGCAAAAGACATTTTGGGCTCAATTGTGGTCGTACGTTGAGGATTACCTGGTACAAACAAGCTTATCTATATAGTTTTGATATTCTTTGATATCTACTTTTTATTAAGTATATTTTGACAGTTTAAACAATGTTTCTACAGAAATCTGGGTATGAGGCCTCTGTCAGTCGGAAACAAAGGTCTGGCTCTATTATTGGCAAATATATTGAGAGAAGAAGTTCACTGAAGAGGTAAGCCTTCCGTTTTGTCTTGGGCGCATTATTATTATTATTATTATTATTATTATTATTATTATTATTATTATTATTATTATTATTATTATTTAGATAACTTACAGAATTGGACAGTATTCATAGTACAGCAAGAAACAATGCTTTCTTATTTTTTTTCAATATATTGTTTTTATTTAAAGGCATTTTTACCAATTTTTGGAAATATCCCCTAACTAGAAATTTTACATGGGATATAGTCCTCAATGTACAACCACAGCTGAGCCCAGAATTCATGTTGCTAAAGTGAGAAATTTGCTAAATGAGTCTTGCCCGCTTTTACGACTTTTCTTGCCACTGTTGTTAAGTGAATCAATGCAGTTCTTACATTAGTAACATGGTTGTTAAGTGAATCTGGTTTCCCCCTTGACGTTGCTTGTCAGAAAGTCACAAAAGGAGAGATCATAGGACCCTGGGACACTGCAACCGTCATAAATATGAGTCAGTGGGCAAGCATCCGAATGACCATGGGGATGCTGCAATGGTCATAAGTGTGAAAAATGGTCCTAAGTCACTTTTTCCAGTGCTGTTGTAACTTCAAATGGTCACTAAGTGAACTGCTGTAAGTCGAGGACTACCTGTAGTACTTTAAGTTGTTAATTATTAATTAAAATATATTAGCCATATAAAGGAGCACAATGACTCCTTTAGGAGGCTGGGATGGAGATTAGCAAGCCTGCGTTCGAGACCTGCGTGCTGCCATTGGGTAGGGTTGAGCTCCCGTCCTTTGCTCCAGCTCCTGCCGGGGACCTGAAAGGAGCCCCCAACTGGATGTCCTCTGGGCAGTGGTGATGTCACCTGCTAATCCTTTCAACTAGGGGTAAAATCCTCCTGGTTTGCACCGGATTGGGCGATCCGGTAGCGATCTTGGCGGCTGGTTCGACGATCCAGTAGCGATGGCGGAGCAAAGTTTCGCCCACCTGCCTGGGTGTTGTCACTTCCTGGTTTTAACCAGGAAGTAATGTGTTCATTACTTTCTGCGGATGCGTAGAAGGTTTTGCGCATGTGCAGAAGGTATGTGCGTGCATGTGACATGCGTGCGCGCACGAACTTCCAAACCGGTAAGGAAGGTAAGTAGATTTCACCCCTGCTTTCAATCCAGAAGTGCCTCAGTGCTTCTGACTCCAGTGCAATTAACCATATAATATTTTCAATCTGCTGGTTATTCGTAATTTGTTTGTTATTTACATGTATCCTATTGCTTGCATTGTTGTTGTTTTTTCTTCTTTACCATATTATTCCTTTTTGGTTATTTTCCTTGTAATAAATTAAAAAGAAGTTTAAAAATAAAATTTTGAAGAAATGAACATTCTACAAAATTTATCATTTGGAGAATAAGTTCTAAATATAAAAAGTCGCATGGCAAGAGTTTCAATTTCTCATATTTTCTGAAATGTGCGAGACCTAGACAGATGAATTGGTTAGTCATAGACATCTTTCCATAAAGGAACCAATGGTTATAGCAACCGTTGAAGTGACAGTGAGAAGCAAATTTGTCCAAAAACATTCTAAAAACAAATGTGACTTAATAGTTGCTTTTCATTGAAATAAAAGATAATATATAATTTTGACTTAGAGTGAAAGTGCGTTGACTTATAAAGATTTGAATATTCTTCTGATATTTTGAAAATCCAGTTCATCTACTGGATATTCCTCAGCTATGTTTGAGTTCAGGTATGAAAAGCAATAAGCTTTTGTGAAAATATTTACAGACCCCTTGCATCCTGGACATAAACTGTTTCATCTCCTGCCTTCAAAACGACGCTATCGAGCACTGCCCACCAGAACAACTAGACACAAGGACAGTTTTTTCCCGAACGCCATCACCCTGCTAAACAAATAATTCCCTCAACACTGTCAAACTATTCACTAAGTCTGCATTACTATTACTATTAATCTTCTCATCGTTCCTATCACCCATCTCCTCCCACTTAACTGCATGACTGTAACCTTGTTCCTGGTATCCTTAAGATTTATATTGACTGTTTCCTAATATGATTCGATTGATTATTTGTTCCCTATGACTATCATTAAGTGTTGTACCTTATGATTCTTGACGAGTGTATCTTTTCTTTTATGTACACCGAGAGCGTATGCACCAAAGACAAATTCCTTGTGTGTCCAATCACACTTGGCCAATAAAGAATTCTATTCTATTCTATTCTATTCTATTCTATTCTATTCTATTCTATTCTATTCTATTCTATTCTATTCTATTCTATTCTATTCTATTCTATTCTATTCTATTCTAAGCAACGTTCAGGTTTCCACTAGGTTATAAATGACTGAGTTGTGTGCTTGTGTTTTTCCTAATCGTTTTCCAGTGAGCCTTCCGAAGATGAGACATTTAGCGCATCCCACATAAGAAGTGCCCTTAGTATGAATGTGGATCTTTCATTAGATTCTGAGCCCCCTAAGCCTGGCGGGCTGACCCAGAAGAAGCACTTCAGAAGGCTAATATCCATTGAAGAAGACCATCTACCGCATCTTCTGAACAGGACAGAGAGGCAACTAATACGGTGGTCTGAAGAAGATGAAGATAAACGAGGACCAGATATGAACGGAGTCCAACGGCAGCCACAGGTTGAACCGTCTCAAGCCTCACCTAGGGAAGAGCCCGTAGGAAAAGAAACCCTGACAAATGTAAGGAACAAAACTGAATTATTTAGATTTTACGGAAGAGAATATTTGTAGTTTACGGTTGAACTCTGGGGTCCTTGGTTCTTTTGGAGGTGGGTTGTTTTCTTGCAGATTTTAGATTTTATTTTGGATGAACAGAGATGGGTTTCAGCAGGTTCTGACCAGTTCTGGAGAACCGGTAGCGGAAATTTTGAGTAGTTCGGAAAACCGTTAGTAAAAATTCTGACTGGCCCCACCCCCATCTATTCTCTGCCTCCCAGGTCCCAGCTGATCGGGAGGGAATGGGGATTTTGCAGTAACCTTCCCCCCGCAGTGGGGTGGGAATGGAGATTTTGCAGTATCCTTCCCCTGCCACGCCCACCAAGCCACATCCACAGAACCGATAATAAAAGAATTCGAAACCCACCACTGTGGATGAAGTGCATTTTGGCAAAATTAAAAGAATAACAGGGTTGGTAGGGACCTTGGAGGTCTTCTAGTCCAACCCCCTCTCAAGCAGGAAACCCTATAGCATTTCAGACAGATGGTTACCCAATCTCTTCTTAAAATCCTCCAGTGTTGAAGCACTCAAAACTTCTGGAGGTAAGTTGTTCCACTGCTTAATTGTTCTCACTGTCAGGAAATTTCTTCTTAGTTCAAGGTTGCTTCTCTCCTTGATTAATTTCCATCCATTGCTTCTTGTCCTGCCTTCAGGTGCTTTGGAGAATAGCTTGACTCTCTCTTCTTTGTGGCAGTATTGGAAGACTGCTATCATGTCACCCCAGTTCTTCTTTCATTAAACTAGACATACCCAGTTCCTACAACCATTCTTTGTATGTTTTAGCCTTCAGCGCCCTAATCATCTTTGTTGCTTTTCTCTGCATTTTTTCTAGAGTCTCAACATCTTTTTTATATTGTGATGACCAAAGCTGGATGCAATATTCCAAGTGTGGCCTTACCAAGGCATTATTCGTACGTTTCTAAAAATTCACAATGTGAATACACCTATCAGGGTATAAAGTTAGGTAAAGAAGGCAACAGCTGTACATTAGCTCTTTCATTATTAGTTCTGAGTAAAATTGTAATGGGTATGTCTAGTTTGCTGAAAAGACGGACAAGGGGAGACATGATAGCAGTGTTCCGATATCTCAGGGGCTGCCCCAAAGAAGAAGGGAGTCAACTTATTCTCAAAAGCCCCTGAGGGCAGGACAAGAAGCAATGGATGGAAACTAATCAAGGAGAGAAGCAACTTAGAACTAAGGAGAAATTTCCTGACAGTTGGAACAATTAATCAGTGGAACAACTTGCCTCCAAAAGTTGTGAATGCTCCAACACTGGAAGTTTTTAAGAAGAGGTTGGATAACCATTTATCTGAAGTGGTGTAGAGTTTCCTGCCTAAGCAGGGGGTTGGACTAGAAGACCTCCAAGGTCCCTTCCAACTCTGTTATTCTATTCTATTCTATTCTATTCTATTCTATTCTATTCTATTCTATTCTATTCTATTCTATTCTATTCTATTCTATTCGATCCGATTCTTATTCTATTCTGTAATAAATATTTTGGTCTCTCCTGTAAAAAGTTTAAACCACACGTGGATAGCTTTGAACAATCACCTTTATATATAATTGGAAAAAATGTAAAGAAAGGTGCGTTTTCCTTATTCAGTCTGAGATTACATTGATATTGTAAAGATGTAAAATGAAAAATGTGGAAGCATAAATCTCTTGCTTCTAATTAAAGAACAAGAAATTTAAAACTCAGGAATAGGAATTTATCAAGGGAGCAGCAGCGAGACTTCCTACTGCAAGAAAGAGTTAAAACCATATTGCATTGTTTTAACTTTTAATGCTTTGTGTTATTATACATCCTGTATTTTAATCTTTTATCTCTGTTATTATGGTTCGTCGCACAGTCAGCCAGAGATCCAGGTTGGGTTGGCCACCTATTGAGTCCTTCCCAGGGACCTGAGATAGGCAGAGGTGGATGTTTTGATGGTCTTAAAGGTATCATCGCAGGATATAAGCTGTTCCAAGCAAAGCTGCCTTTTGCAATTGACCGATGGGGATTTTGTCAATGTCGACAGTGTGCTCCAGCTGTTTTGGGATTGCACCCAAGGCGCAAATACTATCATCTTTATCGTGATCAATCATTTTCTTATTAATCCCATGTAAAAGAATCACCTAGCTATTTCTCATTTATATATTGCATTCTTCTTTATCCTCCTGGTTTAAACATTTTTATTGAGTCATATGATAAAATAAGATACAAAATACAAAAGTCAAAAAGGAAAACGGTGGGGAAGAAGAGGGGGAAGAAAAGTGAGGGAGGATAAGAAAAAAAAGAAAAAGAAAGATTGACTCCCAACCAGTGGTGAAATCCAATTTTTTTTACTACCGGTTCTGTGGGCATGGCTTGGTGGGCATGGTGTGGCTTGGTGGGCGTGGCAGGGGAGGGATACTGCAAAATCTCCATTCCCACCCCACTCCTGGGGGAAGGATATTGCAAAATCTCCATTCCCATCCCACCCTGGGGCCAGCCAGAGGTGGTATTTGCCGGTTCTCAGAACTACTCAAAATTCCTGCTACTGGTTCTCCAGAACTTGTCAGAACCTGCTGGATTTCACCTCTGCTCCCGACTCTCTCTGTTGCAGTAAAATAAGGCATTAACATCAAATCACAACTTTTTGGGGTATTTTTTATAGGAATATGAACCAGCGATTTCTATGCATCCTTTTTTATCCTATGCCTAACAATGCAACCCTATGTCAGGGTTTCAAGTAACACCCCCAATGAAAGAAGACTCCGAGGCTTTTATTAGAGGTGTCATATTGGCACATCTGGGAAAACCCGAATCTGAAAACTTCCAGGTTTTCCCCACCCAAAGGAAAGTCCAAGTCCTTGCCCAGCACCCACATGTCCATCACATGGTCCAATCAAACCACCATCCCAACTGGGGGTGCCTCCCAGTTCCAGCCCTCCAGATGCAGGGCAAAATGTCCTTGACTCTCTGAGAAAGGAATGTTATTATGACTACATATCACCCTAAACAACCTAATATTTGTGCTTGTGTGAAGGATGAAGAGTTCCGCATGGCTCCGGATCGTATATTCAAGATAGTTCTGGTGGGGAATTCAGCTGTGGGGAAAACATCCTTTTTAAAGCAATTCTGCGAAGAACGGTTTTTTCCAGGCACGGCTGCTACCGTCGGTAAGTAAGAGACAACGGACATCCTGTACATACGATACGATGGACACGCCATTCATACCTGTGCCGGTATCTGGAATTTGGTAACTGCCAACATCCCTAGATCAATTTTAGGAATGCCTTTTTGCTTTTTTAAAACTTAAAAAGAAAACAATAACAGTAAAGCACAATTTACGAGCACAATGGAGCCCAAAATTTCCATTGCTAAATAAAACAGATTAACAGATTAACAGAGTTGGGACCTTATAGGTCATCTAGTCCAACCCCCCGCTCAAGCAGGAGACCCTACACCATTTCTGACAAATGGCAGTCCAATCTTTTCTTAAAAGTCTCAAGTGATGAAGCTCCCACAACTTCCGAAGGCAACTTCTGTTCCATTGGTTGATTATTCTCACTGTCAGAAAGTTCCTCCTCATTTCCAGGTTGAATTTCTCCTTGTTCAGTTTCCATCCATTATTCCTTGTCTGGCCTTGAGGTGACTTTGGAAAATAGCTTGACCCCCTCCTCTCTGTGGCAGCCCCTCAAATATTGGAAGACTGCTATCATGTCTTCCATAGTCTTTCTCTTCACTAGACTAGCCATGCCCAGTTCCTGCAACCGTTCTTCGTATATTTTACCCTCCAGTCCCCTAATCATATTTGTTACTCTTCTCTGCACTTTTTCTAGAGTCTCAACCTCTTTTTTATAGTACGGTGACCAAAACTGGATGCAGTACTCTAGGTGTGGCCTTACTAGGGCTTTATAGATGGTATTAGTACCTCACTAAGACAGACAGTTGCTGAGTGAGTTTTTGTCCCATTTTATGTCCTTTCTTGCCACATTGGTTAAACGAATCACTGCCGTTGTTAAGTTAGTAAGACGGTTATTAAGTGAATCAGGCTTCCCGGTTGACTTTGCTTGTCAGAAGGTTGCAAAAGTAAATCACACGACCCCAGGACACTGCCACCGTCATAAATGTGAGTCAATTGCCAAGTGTCTGAACTTTGATCATGTGACCATAGGGATGCTGCCATGGTCATAAAATGTGAAAACTGGTCCTAAGTCACTTTTTTCAGTGCCGTTTTAACTTCTGACAGTCACTAAACAAATGGTTGCAACTTGAGGACTACCTGTATTAAAAAAGCATAAGTCTGGATAGATAAATTTATGGGGCTACCAAATTCTCTGGTTTATAATAAGAAATTGACCTTTAGAAACTTTATGTATAGTTTTTAAGAAAAAAAGGCGAAAAAGATTTGGCTGGAGATAATAGAATAGAATAAAAAGATTTGGAAGGGATCTTGAAGGTCTTCTAGTCCAACCCCCTGCTTAGGCAGGAAACCCTGCACCACTTGAGACAAATGGTTATCTCACATCTTCTTAAAACCTTCCAGTGTTGGAGCACTCACAACTTCTGGAGGCAAGTTGTTCCACTGATGAATTGTTCCAACTGTCAGGAAATTTCTCCTTAGTTCTAAATTGCTTCTCTCCTTGATTAGTTTCCACCCATTGCTTCTTGTCCTGCCCTCAGGTGCTTTGGAGAATAGCTTGACCCCATCTTCTTTGTGGCAACTCCTGAGATATCGGAAGACCGCTATCATGTCACAATAAATAATAAAATAACCATAAGATAAGTAATCATAAACAAGAAAACTGTGGCTTTAAAAATACTTTTCTTTCCCGTATGTTGAATGCAAACATTGAGGAAAAACATTGCATTGACAATTCAGTGTTCTGGATCAGTGGTCCCCAACCTTTGCAACTTGGTAGGACAACTGGGTGGGGGGAGAGGGGAACCGGGCCGCGTGAGTTGTGGGCTGGCGCGCACGTGCAGCCCCGCTCAAAGTTTCAGGGTACAGTTTCACACTCCCTCAGGCTTCTCCGTGCCATAAGCTTTTGGCGTGGAGAAGAGAAGTCCTGGAAGTGGGGGGGGACACACTCTCATGTGCTTTCAGACTCACCGAAGCTGCCCAATACTCCAAAAGTGGATGCGGTGTCCGGCAGCCTCACTGAGTCAGCGAAGATGAGCAGGGTGCACACATCCCACTCAGCCTCTGCTCCTCCCCACTCCTCTCTTGAAGCATCAAGAGCAGGCGGCTTGGTGGCCCGGCTGGGGGGAGGAAGAATGGAACCAGGACACAAGAGCGGCGGGCTGCTTGCCCTAGTGGGGCCCTTCTCCGGAGACTCAGGGCGGCTTACAATGTGCTCAGCAATAGCCTTCATCCTTTTGTATATTTATACAAAGTCATCTTATTGCCCCCACAACTGGGTCCTCATTTTACCTACCTTAGAAAGGATGGAAGGCTGAGTCAACCTTGAGCCTTGGCGAGATTCGAACCTGCAGTAATTGCAGGCAGCTGGTCTTAATAACCAGCTTAATAACAGGGTGCCTTAGACCACATTGTACTACCAAGGCTCCCAACAATCGTGGTTCCTCATTTTACTGACCTTGGAAGGACGGAAGTCTGAGTTAACCTTGAGCCTGGTGAGATTCGAACTGCCAAATTGCAGGCAGCCGGCAGTCAGCAGAAGTAGCCTGCAGTACTGCACTCTAACCACTGCGCCACCGTGGCTCATATATAATTTATCTTTTCAAATTCATATAATGAGAACCAGTTCAGCGTAGTGGTTAAGGTGAGCAGGTTGGAAACGAGGGGACTGTGAGTTCTAGTCCTGCAGTGGACATAAAGACAGCGGGATGACCTTGAGCCAGTCCCTCTCTCTCAGCCGAAGGAAGAAACCAAGGGCAAACCACTTCTTGGAAAATCTTGCCAAGAAAGTTTAGTACAGGGATCGGCAACCCGCGGCTCTGGAGCCGTATGTGGCTCTTTCATTCCTCTGCTGCGGCTCCCTGTTGCCGGTCGGCTCCACAATTGATAGGGCTTTCGGTTAGGACAGGTAGAGGAAAAAGGACGCCGCGCTAGGAGGAGACTCTATGGTGAGGGAACCAGACTTCCAGTTGGCAGCGGAAATAGGATACCGCGCTAGGAAAGAGACTCTATGGTGTGGGAATTGAACGGGGGACTTCTGGTTAGGACCTTCGTGAATTTTTGAGTGTTTAAGGTTGCCGACCCCTGGTTTAGTAGAAGAATTAGTGCGATTTCTAGAAAAAACTTTGTTATTAGTTGAGAAATGTAGCAGAGTCAACACAATTATGTTATTTAACTTATTCCTAGATTAGTTAAGGCAGAGTTACCCTTCCTTCCCCTGAGCTTAAATGTGCCTTGGACCAACAATTCTTCCTCCCTCTCCTTTCTCGGAGCCTGTTAGACATTCTGTCACATTTTGGCCTTTTAAATGAGAATAATAATAGTAATAATTTTCCAAAAGAACAGTTCCTGGTTTTGATGGAGGCGCCCACGTATTCTAGTGATGCTAACGGCTACGCTAAACAGGTCAACCGTATCAGGCAGGTCCTGGCTGCAGAGTCAGACTAAATCTGTTCCAAGCGAAGCCATTCAATATCACGAGAATACACAATTTGAATTTCATGTCGGATTGACCGTCGCCCCGATTAACAAGGGTCGCGTTGAATGCCATGGCTTCTGGGCACTCATGGGAAAAAAAAGAAATGTGTTAACAAGAGTCCACGTCTCTCTGCTAGGCAAACCAAGGCATGAAACTGACAGGCAATCAAAAGTGAATAATTTGGTCAAAGGAAAAAAAAAAAAAAAAAAAGAACTTCTCGGTTATGGAATGTTTTTACCAACCGGAGCCATTGAAACAAAGATTTCAAAAAAATGAAAAATCCAGTTTTGGGAAGAAAAACATCTGGATTTAGAGGTTAATGAGCAGAGACTTTCTGGACCAAAGGAGTGTAATTTTGAAAGACCAGTTCTTTACCAAGCTGAACTGGAAGCAATTGGATTAGAGAATTACAGAATAGCAAGAGTTGGAAGGGACTTTGGAGCTCAAGCTACACCAGTGGTGAAATCCAATTTTTTTTACTACCGGTTCTATGGGTGTGGCTTGGTGGGCGTGGCTTGGTGGGCATGGTAGGGGAAGAATACTACAAAATCTCCATTTCCATCCCACTCTGGGGCCAGCCAGATGTGGTATTTGCCAGTTCTCCGAACTACTCAAAATTTCCGCTACCGGTTCTACAGAACCTGTCAGAACCTGCTGAATTTCACCCCTGAGCTACATCATTCCAAACAAATGGTTTTCCAATCTTTTCTTAAAACCTCCAGGGATGGAGCACCCACAACTTCTGAAACCAAGCCATTCCACTGATTAATTATTCTCACTGTTAGGAAGTTTCTCCTTAGTTCCAGGTTGCTTCTCTCCTTGGTTAGTTTCCATCCATTGTTTCTTGTTCTGCCCTCAGGTGCTTTGGAAAATAAATCGAGCCTCTCTTCTTTGTGGCAGCCCCTCAAATACTGGAATATTGCTATCTTGTCCTCCCCTGATCCTTCTTTTCTCTAGACTTGCCTGGTTTGATCTGATCTTTCTTGAAAATCCAAACTGGCCTCATGAGATTTATTTATTTATTTATTTATTTATTTATTTATTTATTATTTATTTATTTATTTATTTATTTATTTATTTATTTATTTATTTATTTATTTATTTGATTTATATGCCGCCCTTCTCTGGAGACTCAGGGCGGCTTACAGTGCGTTAAGCAATAGCCTTCATACTTTTGTATATTTTATACAAAGTCACCTTATTGCCCCCACAAACTGGGTCCTCAATTTACCTACCTTAGAAAGGATGGAAGGCTGAGTCAACCTTGAGCCTTGGCGAGATTCGAACTTACTTTAATTGCAGACAGCTGGTGTTAAATTACAGTGCTTTAGTCTACAGAGCTATCCAGGCTCCTGACAGAGCTATCCAGGCTCCTATTTATTTATTTATTTATTTATTTATTTGTTGGGACTTGTATGCCGCCCTATCTCCACAGGACTCAGGGCGGCTCACAACAATGAAAACAGAACAGACAAACCATTAAAACAGAAGTCCAAGTTAAAATTAAGACATTCAATAAAACCCAAATTAAAACCCCCATCAGTCCAAGGCGGCCA